ACCCAAAAACATACATAATAACTATACATAAAATTTATATCATTTTATAGCTTAGGTTTTGAAGAATATTCATATAAGATTTTATTTTTTCAGCTTATGTGAAACTTTAATAAATAAAAAAATACGAATTTCAACCAAAAATTTTTTTTTCCATTTTCATCATCAAAATTAAATCAAAAAGTTGAGGAACAAAAAAAAAATTAATATTCAGTTGGCCATCCTTCATTAGAAATGTATGCTTCAATTCTTTTTGGCATGCTTTCAATGAGTGTATGTAATTTTTCATAAGGAATTTGCTGCCATTCTTCTTTTAATGCAATTTCCAGTTCACTTGCATTTTTTGGATGATTTTTTCAATTTTTTAATCTCCTTTCCAGCTCACTCCAGAGATGTTCAATTGGGTTAAGATCAGGTGATTGAGATGGTCATTCTTTTAATATTTTTACTTTGTTTGTTTGAACATCATTGGCTGTGTAAACTGGTACATTATTGTCTTGAAAAAAAATAACCTCTCCCATCAAAATCCCTCTCTATTAATTGTAACAAGTTCATTTTCCCATCAACCTTCACCAAAGGACCCAATCCCTTTCCAGAAAAACACCCCCAAACCATTACTCCACCACTACCATGCTTTACAGATGGAACCAATTTTTTAATATTATACTGAGTCCCATCTCTTCACCAAACATGCATTGGTCCATCATTATGAAATACAGTAAATCGAGATTCATCACTCCATATCACAGACTTCCATTTTGCAACACTCCAATTTCTTTTTCCTAAACACCAATTTAATCTTTTTATTCTTTGTTCATCAGTTAAAAGAGGTTTTACTGCCGCAGTCTGTGAATAAATTCCAAGATCATGAAGATTCTTTTGGATTGTTCTTGTGGAAACCTCAACACCACTTTTTTTGATAAACTTTCTTTGTATCTTATCTAGAGAACTGAATTATTTTTATCAACAATTTTTTTTTAAGCTTTCTGGTTTTCTTTATTTAAAGATTTGGGTCTTCCACTCCTTGGTGCACTTTTCATATTGTCAGAATTAGAATAACATGCTATAGTATATTGAACTGTGCTTTTAGGGATTTTAATCATTTTAGATATCTCATGAATACTTTTACTGCTAGCATGGAGACCCAAAATTTTTCCTTGTTCTAATTTTGTCAATTCTTACCATTTTTTAAAACAAAGATTGCAAATCATCATTTTAGATCATGTTGGCTTTTTATTTGATAAGGTACTACTAAACATAATAGAAAAGTGATGTCTTGCATAGATACTCTCTGATTTTAAGGGTTTAATATAATATAAATTTTATGCATAATAATTATGTGGGTTTTTGAGCATTTTGATAAACAATTTTTTGTTCAAAAAATTTTCAATTGTTCGAGATTTTTTATTTATTAAAGTTTCACATAAGTTGAAAAAATAAAATTTTATATGAATATTCTTCAAAACCTAAGCTATAAAATGATATAAATTTTATGTATAGTTATTATGTATGTTTTTGGGTAATTAATGTAAATAGATGTCCAAATACTTTTTTCCAGGTAGTATGTATACCACAACATTTCCTAAATAATGAATGAATGCAAAACAAACAAAAGAAATTGAACATTGATTATTATTGATTTTTTTCTTTGACATTAAAATGATCTTTGTATCAAATTATTATTATTTTAATAATAATAAAATTTAAAAATCTAAACAGAAGTGAAATTATAATGGCGCATATTAATATTAATATGTAGATTTAGCAAAAAAAAAAAGGGGCGAAATTGGCTTCTAATTCTAGTAACCCCTTAGAAATTTTTATACGTAAATGTGACCTTCATACGTAAATTTGTCTCCCAAAATTTCATGCCCTAAAATGTTGTAGAAATCGGTGGTTCAAATGGTCAGTTTTTCTAATTGGCGCAGTATTTCGAGCCCTGCAGTTAAATTAGATTTTAAGTAACATTTTTTTATTTTTAATTTTGTTTACAAAAATATATATATATATAAATTTTTAAAAAGTTATTTCAAATGATTGACAAAAATAATTTGAAATTAAATGACGCCAACAACATATAACCATCACAGTATGATCATGATGATGATGGAGATGATGATGATGGCGACGATTTTTGTTGTGAAATTTTTTGAGATGTTGATTTTGTTGGAGATGATGTGTTGTTTGTTGTTCCAGGGCGATACGATGTGAGTGGCTGATTATTACCGGGAGATCCAACAGAAGAATAACGTTCATCAATATTTATTGGTGGCAGCGAAACCGTTGATCTAACTCGAACTGGTGAAGTTGGAAATGATGTACTTTTAGTTGATAATGATTTTTGATTATTTTTGCTACTGCCATTGCTATTATTATTATTATCGTTATTATTGTTATTGTAATTTATATTACTGCTATTGCTGTTACTATTATCTTTGTCATTCTTACCACCACCATGACTATTATTATTGACACCACCACTACCATTATTATTATTAATATCATTTTGATTTGTCTTTGAACGTGTTAAATCACTAGGATAATGTAGATTTGAAGAGTGTTGTGTGTTTTTATTTGATGTGGTGCTTGTATGATTGTTGTGGGAATACTGTGATGTTGGAGCATCATGACGTGGTGGTTGATAATTATGTTCATGACGAGAGTGCTGACCATACATATCATGTCTAAAAGGATATTCATGCCCTCGAATTGGTATAGGAGGAAGAGGATAATAATGACTATAGGTGGATGGTGGCGTTGCATACATATGGTGGTGTGGTGGTAATGATGGAGGTTGTGACTTTTTAGAAGGAGGGGATGCTGATGATGATGATGATACATTAGAGGCATTATTATTAACTGAATGTTCAACATTGGAATTAGTCTGTTTTTCAGATGATGATGATGATGACGATGATGAAACCAAATCTTGAATTGCTATTTTAGCTGACGGTTGTTGGCCAGTTGAATTTGAATCAGGTTGGCCAGTTGATCTATTATCTGTTTTAGATGGAGGTGATGAGGCCGTTGCTGCACTAGGAGTACCAGTATTTACAACAGCAGAAGGAAGGTGTGGTGGTGGTAGATGAGCATATGGGCCATAATAATCAGGTGGAGGATAAGGATACATAGGATGAGGATGTGGAGAGGTCATAGGACCGGAAGGACGATAAGAAGACGTTGCCGAAGAATCAGAATTAATATCTCTAGGTTTTGGATGCTCATGGTAATGTGACCAACGTGGAGGAGGAGGAGGATAAGGACCGGTGGATTCATAAGCATAAGGTCTAGGAGTACTAGAAGATTCAGTTGAAGAACGTGAAGACACTCTAGTGTCAGGAGTAGTGCCATAATATCCAGGCATTGCTTGACCTGGATACATAGTTCTAGGATAAGGAGAAGGTGGAGGGAGTGGATGATGCGGAGGAGGATATGAGTACCGACGATGGTCAGAAGCATCCGGTAAATGAGGAGGTGGTGGTGGGTAATAATAAGGATGATGATAAGCATATCTCCTATCATAAGGATCATAATAAGGAGGATAATGAGGATCTTGTAAATAATCAGGTCTCTCGTGCCAAGGAATTTGCCTATGATAGCCAGGATAACCTTGTTCATAATGTGACACATGGGGCGGCGGCGGCGGCGGTGGTGGTTGGTGAGTATAAGAGGTGCGAATATGTGGAGAAGTTGGAGTAGCGTTATCTCTTTGTTTATCAACAATCATTGCTTGAGAAGAATCGGGGCTTGCTTTTGAGCTTTCGACTGAATGAACAGAACCCCTGTCTTGCATTTCAGCATCATTATCATCATCAGTTATACTACCATGACTTTCGTCATCAATTTTGTTATTAGCACGTGCACGTTTATTTTTTGTTTTATTTGTATTTTCATTATGATCTAATTCTTTTCTATCCCGTTTTGCTATCCGCCTGCTTACATTTTATGAAAAAAAAAAACAGAAAGTCAGTCCAAGAAGTTCGAGAGGAATCATAAACAAATTATCTGATTAACAATTGATGTAATAATAAGTCAGTTATCACATAAGTCACCAAATAACCTTCTTATTCTGATTTCTTTCCTTATTCGAATTTTCAACCCTTGATCGGCAAAAGATCTTGACAAAAAGGTAGATTCTAAAAAAATATATAAATAGAATGTGCTTATTAGAATATAAAATGAAACAAAAATTTGGCCAAGAATTAATAATTTTGACAAACCTTCCATTCCGGGGAATCTCTTTGCTGAGTATACTATAAACACATCTGAAAAGATTGACTTACAATGATATATTTCATATCTGTAACATAAATATTAATTAATAAAAATGCATATTCATTGATAGAAACAATGATATTGATAAGAATATATATATATATATAACTTAGAAAAGTAAATTACCCGATTATTTCAAACAAACTTAATTTCAGACGATAAGTTCCTTCCATTCTTACGGACAAATCAGGAAACACAAAGAAACCCGCATCTGAATTGTCTGTGTCTTTTAAATGATACAATGACGAGACTACAGAACCTGTTGTAGAACGAGTCTTTCCATCACGAAGCAAATGAAGTTCTTCGTCAGTGTCTGGAGCAACCAAAGAAGCGTACATGAAGTAATAGGGATTCTGGAGAAACGAACTTTATTTTTTTTTTGAGTATCAAAAGGGGATAGATTAGGGACGTTATCATGTGATAAATCAGGTGATATCCAAAGCTTTATCTACCTACCTATTCTCAGGTTGGGTAAGACACGAGTCATAGACTTTTAATTGAATTATTGGCGGTGGGTCTATTGGTCGACGATCAGCTATTTAGATCAAATGAATTATGATGAGTGTGTTTAAAAAACTTTTTTGAATGAATGCATAAATAGTGTGTGTGTGTATGTATGTATGTGTTATTAAAGATAAATGGTAATCCATCTAATTAGATGAAAAGTTTTCTACCTTTTTCACCTATTCCACACATTCTTGATTGTTTTGGTTGTTGTCGTAAAATAAGTTCATAGTTGCTAAGGAATAAAATTTTAGTCTAAAATTTTTTAAAGAAAAGCTTGGAAAATTCTTTTATGCATACATTTCTTCCCTACTCTCTCTTCTTTGTCTCACGTGAGTAAAGTTATACGAGATACCTTCTTCCATAGTAATAATAAGATGTATTTATTTTGGCTATTACTGCTATTACTATTATAGGATTCTTTAAATATAAAAATAGATATTTTTTAAAGTGATAATTAAAATGAAGGTGAATTAAGAGAAAAGAAAGTTTTGATGTTTTTTGTTTTGTTGCTATAATAATTTAAATTTTAAAAAATTTTAAATTAATTTGTTGGTTTGATAAAATTTAAATTTTTTTGTTGGAAAATTATATTTTGTGGATGGATATTTGTTTGGTGAAAAAGAAAATTCAACAGATTATATAATAAATTTTTGGTTGACTTTGGTTGGTTATTAGTTGGTATTGGAATTCTATTTAAAAAATATAACAAGTAAATGTAGATACGTAAAATTAATACAAATGTAAATAATAAAAAGTTATATAATATGAAATTTTTTTTTGGAGTTTTTTTATTTAATTTTTATTTAATGGAATCGGGGTAAAAATTTAAAATAGAATGAACGTACTTAAATTTTCTGGTTTTTTGTTGGTCGATTTTTGGTTTTTTTTTTCTTTGTTATTGAAGGTAAATAAATAATAGAACTGATTGGTGGTAAATTGACGATGATTTTGTTTATTTATAAATAAATAAATAAACAAAGTTCATTGAAGAGACTACCTGGGAAACATTTCAACAAATATAGAAGATAGAAACGGATTAAACAATAATAATAAATACCGTTGCAAAGGCCTCCGAACAAAAACCTGCGACACAACAAGAATAGGAAATTTTAAATAAAAAAGAAAAATGAAAAAAATATTTTTCTAAATATTGACAATTATGAAAACAATTGGAGAAATTCTCACCTTATCTCACAAATAATAAAAAGAGAATTTCTTGGTTTTGAAAATTATTTATATTTATATCTTTTTATGGTACTAGTAATCACAAATTTGGTTGGTGATAAGATCATTCCTTCTTACATTCCAAAAATGTAAAAAAGGTCTTTCGATTTCACACAAATTTATTTGAGCGACTTACCAAAAGTTTGTTATTCAAACAATACTTATTCTAAGATAATATAAATATTATTATTCCTTTCCCCCTTTTTGGGAACCAAAAAATGTTTTGTTAGATGTTGTACACATTTCACATCTACATACATGTCCATCTTATACATAAATAATAATCAATGGTTGACATTATCTCATCTATGAATTTCTTTAGATCAGGGTGCACCTCTTTGTATTCTTACTTATTATGATATCCTGCAAGAAAAGCTTTTGCACAAAATGTCTGGACATTTGAATATGAATTTGAATATGTTATCCATTACGTTACACCTCTTTAATAGACATTTGGAACTTACTAAATGTTTTAAGGTTAAAGACATACGTATCTTTTTTAATTGATTGATTTTGTGATAAGGATGTTAAAATCGGTTTTATAATGTTTAAATTGAATTATTTGTTTCTTGTGGCTGCGTTTTAGTCTATATTTCTTTGTTCCCGTCGAAAAACGTTGAATATTTTCAATAATGAAATTGGTTTATTATTAGCAATTGTGTCATTTATTGACATTTTTAGTCCTTGTCTATGGTGTGTAAATGTTGATTTTTTAATATATGTTTTCTTTGATAATATATTTTTTAATCCTTCTATATATATATATATATATATTTTTTTTTTTTTATTTTTTTTTTAAAAAAAAAAAAATATTTAAAGCACATTAATATTGTGTCATCATCATCAATTCAAATTTGCTATTACTATAGCATCTGTGAAACATGAAACTTTCAATGGTCGACCTTTATTGGATAGTTTAGCTTTACGTAAACTATCAAAATATTACACAGTGAATCTCGCTCGGTTTGGCGGATAATTTGGATTTTTTTTCAAAAACCCGTTATATCAAGAAGAATTTTATTATTATTATTATAGTTTATTATAAACCATCAATCCGTTAAAATCAAGATTTTTAATTAGCATCCGTTACACTGAGGTATGCTAAATTAAGATTCACTGTGTATTACTTCCTTTGGCTTATGGAAATTAGGTTAAATAAAAATAATTTTATGGAAAAATTAAATTTCTGATATCACAAACTAAAGTTACGCGTTTTTTTAAAGAGATTATAGGGTGCAATAAATATCTTGTGGAGCAATGAACACGCGCTTCTTGGAATAATATCCATCATTTCATGCAATGTTCGTCATTATACAAAAAAGAATTGGAAATGTGATAACAATATAAAGCAAAATGTTGTCAAAGCTTGATGAAATAAATGTTTCCAAATTTATAACAAGGAGGTAACAACTGCGAATATTATTCAAATTGAAGATAATTCCCCAAAGATTGTTGTTATTTAATATAAAAGCTGTTATTTTTCTACAACTCTTAAATTGCTGTCTCACATTTCCTTTTATATACTTGTCAGGTATTTATTTATCCTTTTATATATGTATTTTTGATGCTAGTAGATTTGGCAACATTTATTGGAAATTGTGATATTTTACTATTCAAAACACATTATAAAATTAATTGGATCCGAACTTATAATCATTGGTGGAATTTTCTCATCAATATAAGAACATTGCTTTATGTATTCATTGGTACAAATTGAATACATTAGATGAAACACATTTGCAGCTTCAAGGAACCAATAAAACATGCAACAATTGACTAAAAATCAACCATCATCTCTTGGGTTAAGAGCAATTGCTCTTTGATCACTTGTAGGTGTAAACCATTTAGGAAGCGGTATTGGCTCAATTATTGGCGGCCTACTTTACACTAAATTTGGTGATTTTAATTAAGCTATGCCGGTATTGGAAAAATGATTTTATATATTGCTGGAAAATAAAATCAAGCAAAAAAGTATCGAATGAATGAAAATATGCAACAAAGAAAATTTTGACACAAATACTTTTTTTAGTCTTTTTACTAGAGATAAGTGTATTTTAAGTACATATTATAAATTTTATGGATTGATTCATGTATTATTAAATCGGAATTGTAGATTTTTTTTGGATTTATATAAATTACCTCTTAAAACTATTAACAAGTGGTAAATATTTAGATGACACGATAATCCACAAGTTGACATTGCTATTAATAAATTTAATGGGTGACTGACTACATCAGTCTGAATGTAGCCTATTGAATACCGAAAAATCAATTACTCTATTCCTTTCCAGTGGGTATGATAGATCACATCCTGAATAGACACAATCTGTTGTAAATTTCAAAGTACACACATTTCGCGTGCCAAGCAGTCATCACGCGTAAACTTGATGCTTGCAACCAAGAAGTTGTAACCGTCTCCTGAGGAATTCTCCAACTATAAATTGCTTCAATTCATCAACGTTTTCAGGCATCCTTTTTTCAACATTATTTTTCATAATGTGTCCACTTTGAGATCAGGACTGTTGGATGGCCGACCAATCACGTTAATCATGTGCTTTAGATCATTGTCCTGTTGCAAGCGCCCAGTTTCTACCACGCAACCTTTGTGCAGTTGGTTCTGCAATATGTTGACATAATAAGGCCTATCCATGATATCAGTAAAACAAATAATGGTGTTTTATCTTTCGATGAAATTCCTTTACCTTTTGCCGTGATTTTGGCAATTTGGTCTTTGTCCATCTTTATGCCATCTAAAAATCTTGTTACAAATGTTGTTTTACCTGTAAAGATTGTACGACTCAATCGTCATTCAAATGAGCTTGTACACATGCTATCCAGGCTTCAATGTGACGAGTGGTCAACATTTTCAAATAGAACGTGCCAAATTCCGTGTAACCTTAGATTCCCACATTTATGTTCAATAGAACCGGCCAATTTCTCAAGTTGTTCTCAATGGTATGTTTGTTTTTTTTTGTGTATTTCTTTTGATGAATGGATACCATTCATCCAAAAATAGTTTTGCTTTGTGCTTTCAAATTTTGCATTAACCATTTTTTACAAAACTTAAAGATTTAAAGGTAATGACAAACATTAATCATCACGTAAACAATAATATCCAATCACATTTAACATGTAAATAAATGGGATTTTTTTTTTTAATAACTTCAAAAAAAATTTACATTGTAACCACTTTTTTTTTTGAATCACACTGTAACTAGCTGTAACTAGCTACAACCAGCTGCAGACACCAACTTTAATCACACGGTCTCGGATATTTGTCAATAGTTACAAACTCTATCTGGAAAAAGGCTTACTTAAGGTGATGTATTGTCAAACAACGCAAAGGAAGTCCATTTCATTCATCAAGTGATTCCAATACTATGATTTGAAAGCAAAAACATCATCCGACTGATTTGGAGCCGACTAAAGTGTATTATTAATCGTTTCAGCTACACTTGAGAGCGAGCAGCTTCGCAGACAGCAGTTGTCCAGGAATTACCTGGCGACTGTACTGCGTCAACACAAACCATGATGTTAAAATGCGTACATCTCCTACTGTATTATTAATCCTATCTAATTAATATATACATCGAAACATTAATTCGGTATGTACGGCCTCACGATTAGCTTTCGGAAATCCCTGTGCTTCATCTGCCAAAATTTGTTTTTCAATTCTCAAATTAATTTTCTCTCAACTTAATTTATAGTAGGATAATTATACGGGAATGAATACTAGTCAGGAAGAAAATAATTGATCTTTTTGGATTTATGGAATATACGGAATTACAGATGCATCAGATTTTCTTGATAACCGCATACTGGAAAGTCGTATCTCTTGCAAATGGTCAAACTATATAAACACAGCATCATTATTGTAAATATATATCTTTTGTTATCCATGTGCATGGATTGGACATTTTTTAAAGTTGTTGTACCAAAAAAAAGGGTTATATATATATAGTCGCACGAATTTCCCAATTTAATTTTGAATTATTGAATAAAAATTTTATCATATTCAAACCAAAAAAGATTATCTATCACCCATAGAAAAAAATTCTAACCTTAAAAAAAAATTAAAATGATTCAAGATTAAATGCAACAATAGATTATCAGATAATGAAATAACTGATAATGATGA